AAGGCAAGGTATTGTGCCAATATATATTTTTTTATGGAAAAACAAGGTTTGACAGCAGTATATGCTCAATCTTTAAAATCCTAAGAGAACAGTTAAACTCCAAACGGGCACAAATCAATTCCAACCAACTTTTCATTTAATAATAAATCTGAACATTAACTTTTCTACCGCTTAGTGGAAAAAAGGACATAACACCTTTAACACCCTAAATATGTATTTGAATTAATTTGTTCATGCTTGGAACATAATTGCTCCCTTTATGCTAATATCTTTTTTCACACGGTTATTATATTATGAATATAACGAATTAGACTTACTTCATTTCTATGTTCTAAATGAGCAATTAAAATATAATTACTCTGCAGTTGCAGACTTTTTAATTTAAATTGGTGAGTGGCTGCTGTAAGTTGGCCGTAATTGTACGTGAACTCACTTGCTTTATTTTAAAACACCATTATATAATTTAATACAACTGAACTTTAACACATTTCTTCATGTGGGTGGGTAAACGTTTAGGGTCAGATTCAGCCCTAGGTTACACCATCTCTTGCCAGAGTAACTGAGGCCATGTCTACACTACAAAATTATGTCGCTTGGTTTGTGCACACTTGGCTCTTTGTGTCGGCACATCCTCCCAGAAGCCTTTGTATCGATTGTATCGCCAGTGTGGGGCATTGTGGGATGGCTCCTGAAGACCAGTAATAGTTGACATAAGCAACACGGTGTCTACACTAACATTGCGTCATCCTAATTACATCAGCCATAACCACTACATGGAAAGATAGGCAGTATGCCAAGAGACCACCCTGACTTTCACCAAGAGATCTTCAATGATCTCAAACTCAAAAAGACGTCCTACAAAAAAGTGGTGTTACTAAGTTGACGTAGAGAGGCACTTACATTGGCAGGAGGCAAATTTAAGTGAAGACACTTCCACAGCTAAGTCGACGCAAGGCAGCTTACGTTCGACCTAACCGCGTAATATAGACCAGGCCTCAGAAGATGCCATGAAGCTGATCCTCAGACTTATCCTGTGTAGCCCAAGAAGTTGGTATTGTTAGCCAGGAGGAGGCACAACCAGTTGATTGGGTAGATTCTGGGCAGATTCCAGCCCTGGAACCTGAATACAAATTAAAGCTGCCTTCCACTTGTGAAATTCCCAGGACTGTGGTATAGAGCAAACAGCATCTTCCCTCCCCTGGGAATGAATCCCCATTATAACAGCTCCTGCTTGCCCAGGACCAAGGCTTACACTTCTCTACACCTGTGGCGGTAAGATCAAGCCCATAAATGCAACCTTTACTCACATGATTAGTTCCTCTTTACTCAGTGAGACAATTTGCATTAGGGTCATTTATTCCTGTGTGTGTAAGGGTTGAAGGATCCAGTCCATATGTGATACAGCATGTTCTTTTATAGAAATACCTATTAATTTCAGAGTGGTAAATACATCTATATGTATTTGTTAACCATAGGGTGGTTTATAGGTGTCATTGAGGCATCTAATTATTCTTACTTAATAGTTTAATAATTTTAGAAGATAAGTAGCCAGACAACAGTGCACAATATTTTGAAATCATTCTGTGTTCATTAGCTATTTTTTACAATACTTTGAACATCTTCAGCTTATTGACAGACAGCTCTTTTGATTTTTTCATGCATATTATACAGACAATAATTATATTAAAAGTATGTTATTTAGGTTGCAAAGTCAAGCACTCAAAAGTTATGAACTGCCAGATTTAGGATTGCCTATGCAACTTTAAAGCTGCCCCTGTGAGCCTATCCTGTGCATTGAATAAAGCAGATGTTGTGTGGTGACAAAATAGTATGTTATAATGGTAAAGACTATATTATAATACATATACACAAGGGGGCAGAATTAAAGCTGTATATCTCTTTCTCTCTCCGACCCCCCAGGAGTTGGTGGAGATTCTGTGCCACATGCTACTCCCAGGGTGAGGTTTAATGGAATAGTAAGGCCATTTCTGGATCTGGGGGACCCAGCACAGCTCCTTCTCTCCAACCCTGCTACAGTTCCTTTGCCAACCCTCTTGTGTTCCCAAAGGAGTGTGTAGGAACTGCTTCTCCATTGGTCTGGCCTGGGAACGTTCAGTGATTTTGGCAGGCCGTCAACAGCTTTCTGAGAAACACAAGTGAAAGGAGGGAACTAGTGATTTTTAATACTTTATTTCTCACTTGCTTGTCTATTGGACCCTCTAATGCCAATCCTTATTCATGTAAATAATGTTTTACAGAACTATGCCTTATTTTTGTAATAGTTGGGAATGGAAGCAGAGTTCTGTAATCTTGCAACAAGAAGGACCTCTCTTATGTGGACACAGAACACTTCCTTCCTTTTCTGCTTCCTAATTCTTGTTCATAGTAAGGCATTAACATTTCCCAAAAATATTAATAAAAGAGGCTCAGAAAAACAATTCATTTGTGAACTTTTCCTAACAGGGAATAGACCCAACTGGCTTGTGCTAGTTACACATTTCTATGGGAATAACCATGTTTTTCTTTTAAAAGCCTAATAGTAGTATTAGAATTCAGAATCAGTGTCGGCCCACACAACTAGAAGCATCTGTCAACGGTTTTTAGTTTCCTGCACTCTGCAAATGAAGATCTAGGCTAGAAACAAATCTTCTGAACAGATGAAAAAGCACTGTTTCTTGGAACCCTGAAATCCATACAGTGTGCTTGCCATAAACTATCATTCATATGCGATTCATGAAAGCAGATGACAGTTTGTACTACCACTTGTGCATGTTCATCCACTCTGAAAAAGATCAGCTTATAAGATTGGCAGGCACTCGCTCATATAACCGTACTACTGTGCATTTCTATAATGCCTTGCATCTGAGAATCTTAAGGTTTTTTATAAAGGTTAACTAAATAAGCCTCATAACCCCCACGTGAGATAAGTATTTTATTATTCCCTTTTTAGAAGTGAAAAAACTATGCAGAGATGGACGCAGAGATGTTAAGGACAAAAGTTTCAAACACCGAACTGGAATTAATTTGCAGACTGGACACCATCAGATTAGGCCTGAATGAAGACTGGAAGTGGTTGGGTCATTACAAAACCTAAACCTAATTTCCCCAGTACTAATTTCCCCCTACTGTTACTCACACCTTCTTGTCAACTATCTGAAATGGGCCACTCTCATTACCACTTCAAAGGTTATTTTTCCTCCCTTGGTATCCTGCTGTCAAATGAATTGTCTCATTAGACTGACCTCACACTTGGTAAGGCAATTCACACCTTTTCATGTATTTATACCTGCTCCTGTATTTTCCACTCCATGCATGCTTATGGCCCAAATATATTTGTTAGTCTCTAAGGTGCCACAAGGGCTCCTCATTGTTTAAGTCACTTAGGTACTTTCCAAAATTTTGGCCCATAAATTTGAAAATTTTGGTCTAAACAGTTTCCTAATAATCCCACAGTAAATCAGTATGAGAGAAATCTGGATCTCCTGATGCTCTATTCTGTGCTTGAACTAGTAGATAAAGCTTAGTCTGTATACGAAACAGAACATTTCCCAATACATCCAAATGGCTCTAAAGTTCCCAGTGTCTTTAAAGACACCAAACATCAAACCTTTCCTGTCTTTAATAAATTATTTCTAGTTGGGATTGGTCAAGGATTAGATTTGCACAAATTCCTTTCTTTAGGGCCTTCCATTATGAAGAAAATAGATGTATTGTAGACTGAGTGCACACTACTGCCAACGTGACATTTTAGGGTATAGTTCTACTTTTACATATGCACCCAGAGATGTCAATGGGGAAAGTTTGATGTGTAAGGAATGCAGAATTGGGCTCTTGTCTTTAAAACTTAGAACATAAGAATGCCCCTACTGGGTCAGACCAAAGGTCTATCTAGCCCAGTATCCTGTCTTCTGACCGTGGCCAGTGCCAGGTGCCCCAGAGGGAATGAACAGAACAGGTAATCATCAAGTGATCCATCCCCTGTTGCTCCTTCCCAGCTTCCGGCAAACTTGATCCAAATCAAAACCCCAGATAAAAATAAGAGTCAGAATTTTGGGAAAGTTTGGCACCTAACCTGAATTTTGCCACTCAGTCCATCCGTACTTAGTATGTACCAAACCATTGTTAAAGCTGGGACTATAGACAAATCGGTATTCATTTTAGAGCACTGCATATTTTTTCAGGAAACTGCACAGGGCTCCATAGTATTTTATCTAAAATACTGTTTTGAAACAAAAGTAGTCAACATCTACTAGTCTTCAGGAATATAATACAAGCCCCTTCTTTGCCTTATGCTAAACTTTTTCTGGAGTTTGAATGTTCCAGTGCAGGATGAAGAGCTACTTCCTATGAAAATATAAAATACCTAGCTGAGAATGTCAAGTACATTCTTCTATTCTGTTCTACGTAAGTTCTCATACTGCTCTCATCTCTGGAGTGCCTGAGTCCCTTCCAGTGGAGTATTGGTACATATTCTTGGTATATTCTTGACCAACACAAAATTCAAGGAGTTTGCTCTACCTCTGAGAGCAGGACAAGAGAGGAAAGATCATTAAAGGCGGAGGAAAGACCCTAGAAGGCAGTTGGCTGACACCTCTACACTGTTTAGCAGCAGAGTACATCATCTTTCCTGAAGATACACCCAATTATTCAGTAACTCAAGGTTCATGGAGCACTATACGCAACTACAATAAAGAATAAGGTACAGCAAATCCTGTTAAGACTGTGGAAACCTGTATTTGTACACACCTGCTGCTGTGTGAGTAATAAACCAGGGCTGGAACACATTTCTGGAGTGGTTTTGACTCTTTATTCCTCAACGAACCTTCTGGCCCTTCCTTAGAATCCGACCAAGCCTAGGATTCATCACAACTAGTGCTCCAGCATGGAGCCAGGATATTTTGTGTGTGTGTAAAAATCAAAAATTGTCATCAGGCACAGCAGAAACCTCCTTTTTCTACTTCTCCATTCGAACTTGAAGAGTTTTACACGTTTGCCTAAGAAACAAACATATGTCAGGTACTACATTGTTATGGAATTAATTACATCAAACAAAACTGGGATTCATGGAATATACAGAATGACCGCAAAAATGTTTTTGAGAAAAGATAGCTTCCTGTATCAAAAAAGGCATGATATCAAAGAATAAGAAAAACCAATCACAGTAATGTCAGGGGAAAAGATTTAAACATACTTAAAATTTAGCAAAATATTCTATTTGTCAGCAAAAGCAAACAGAAATGGATCACTAACATTCATTTCATACAAGTACATCAACAGTTCTTAATTCTGACAAGCCAAATACTTGAAAGGCCTTTGAAAATAAGTAATTATTAAGACCTGTGATATAGAAGAAAGAGACAAGTAAGAATTATTTTTCTGAAAGATGTGTGTTCTTCCCATGTGTAGATAAAGAAAAAAAGCATAAACCAGTTTGGGAATTTTGAACAGATGAATAGTCAGAAGAGAACTCTCCTTACACTCAATTCTATTGTGGCGTATGCTATAGGAAACCCTAAGCTTTATACATATACTTTATAGGTATATGAAGTATTAGGGCAAATTTTCAAAATAGGATGCCCAAAGTTAGGCATCTAGATCCACATTTAGGTATCTAAATCAGTGGCCTGTGGATTGATTTTTCAGACACACTGAGCATGCTCAGCACCTCTAAAACTCAGGCCATTTTATGTAGGTACTGCCTAATATACTGCCTGATATCTTTTGGTGTTAAGAATCAAGGTCATACAGCCTGTCATTGAAGATGTTTGCAATGAGATTTAAGATTTGACTTATAAACTCAAGATTTTGGAGTTTTAATTATGTCCCTAAATGTTAAAATACAAGCAACCAAATATAAGGGTGGGGGAAGAGGGGTGGAGGAGTGTTTTGTTTTGTCTCTGATTTGTATACTTGCTTGAATTGGATCATTTACAAAATCACCTTAGCTTGTACAATTCACTGAGATAAACATCCTTCCGGTATGTTCTCTGAAGACAGTGGAGTCACATCAAGGAGGAATCTAACGAATTAATGTTTTCATTGTAACTCATTTCCATCTTCTTCCAGAAAGTAACTCCATTAGAATGTTTCTGCTTTGTGTGAGTGCGCTTGTGCACACACACACATAATGGCTAAGTATTCTGTATGTTCCTAGAGCACAGCATACAAATGAAAGTCTCGTAGTAGAATTGTTATGACACATTAGTACTAAGAGCACCTTTTTGGATGACAAAACTGTAAATAAAAATCAATTGTTCAATAAACCCTTCCGTTTTTTTCTATAACATAAAAATGCAACAGTGCAACACAAGAATATATGTGGCTTATGCTGCGATCAGAAGCCCAAAGTAGAATTATAACATTGCATAACTGAACTGTAAAACAGTTAATTAAATGCTAATAATAGTTTTCACTTCTATAGTCCTTTCCCCCTGAGTATCTCTTCAAACTGAAGACAAAGGTGGCAACGTGTTTTCTGCTTTTTTGCACATGGGAACACTGGGGAATAGAGCGGCCTCATAGAGGTACTGAGAGGTCTCACACTGACCTATCCATGGTCACCCAGCAAACCAGTGGGATCAGAACTTGTTTCCTAATGCCAAATCTCCTGCTCTAACCTATAAACAACATTATAATTACATGAAAAATATGTAACATGGGGTTGAAGACATCTATTATTCTAAAGGGGAAAAAACAGTTTCAAAACCAGTTGAGAGTCACTTAGTATACTTATTCATTCCTTTTAAAAATAAATTGATGTTATTGTTGCTTTTGGTTTTAATGGGACAAGACTAAATCCATTACTTCAGCTGAAATCATGGAAGCAGGATCGTGCCCCAAATTATCCCCAATAAAAATTCTGAATCAGCTGGACTTAATCACAGCCTATTTTCTTCAAATATAGATGGCATCACAATTTTGAAAGGAAGTTTCAATGGGAAGTTTGAAAGGGCTGTAAAAAGCTACATGAGCCAGAGGCAGACAAAAATATAAATGGTGTCCTTACCTGTGATTTTAGCTTCTCTGTGTGGGTACCTCCTGGTCTGTCAGTGCAGTATGAGGTGTTTTCTGCCTTTGCCCCAAGCTTCAGAGGCAAAGATTCCTTTTGTGATTTCCCCCCCAACTTGTTTGCCAGCTCCCCCAGCTGGCATTTTGAAGTAGTGCACTCATATTTGGCTCCTGGGAATACTGCCATAGCTGAGGGAATATGAGAACTAGAGAACAAGTTAGAAAACAACAGAGAAATTTCCAGGCAGAAATTTAAAAAACAAAAACAAAAAACAATGACAAGTATCAATTTGAAATGCTTTGATAGTTTGCCTCTGTCTTTCCTTCCAGAGCTGCACTTACGTATGGAAAAAAGAGCTCCCCCTGCTAGAAGGGGAATTTCAGACTCAATCAAGACTAGTGGGTTCTGACAGAGTGGCAGATACTCATTTAGAGAAAATAAAATTACATTAAATGAAACTAATTTCACCTTTCTCCTGCATGGGTATCCATCACTCCATCAGTCTAATATTGATAGGAAGCAGCAAAGGTAGCAGAAAAAAAAAACGGTTACCCTGTCCCTGCCCTTCAGGTCCTTATGGAAGAGGACCAAAGGAAGATGGAAGAACTTTCCACCTGAAAACTGTATCAGACCATGTAGCTGATCCAAGATGTAGAGATGGGATTAGCATTATTCCACACACACACACAGCACAAATACAAATTCCTCCATATTCCCTCATGTGCCTCTTACTTGGAGGCTTCCTAGAAAATTCCATCCCTCCGGTAACTCGGAACCAAGATCTATGAGATATAATATGGCTCCAGGTCCAAGCAGGTTCCAAGTCTCAGAGAATGGAAAGTTCAGTGTGTGCACACAAGGGGCCCTGGTAAATAAGAATCTGAAAGACCAGCAAAATCCACAGTTGGTTTACACACAATGGATGTCTGAGAAAGTAGAGAGTTGTTAAGATTACTGTTGCTTATTCCAGCCTGATGCTGCTACCATCTCAGCCATTTGAAGGAAGTGAGGAAAAAAAATGTCCGTATTGCCCATGTTAAAAAAAAAGATAACCTCTCCACCCTCCATGTTTAAGGATGTGAGTAGCAGACACAAAATCTCACTGTCTTCCTGTCATGTTTTGTTATTGCTTTCCACATGGATGGTCTTAGGTTTTGGTAGTATTCTTGGGAACAGGTTAAATATCACATTCTTTACCACTTAACTCCCAGAAATAGAGGCTGTGATGTCATTCCTGGAATGACCATCTGCCCTAAATAATGTGGTAACCCATCTGAGCGCCCCATCCTGACAAGTTGCCATCTCATTGATCATGGACTGGTCAGAGATAGACTCTTACGTAGGTGTTGAGGGGATATCCATGAGGGAAGCGATAATTCTAGTGCAAAAGGAAGAGTGAGCAAATGATCTGACTCCTGTTCTCATAATTCAACCATCAATTAGAAAATTCTGCAGAAGGAGATATGGCCTGGTCTCTGCAGAGGACACTATCATACTTGGTAATGAAAGGCATTGGTGAGCTGACTTCTGTTGTTCGTCACACACCTTGATAAGATTTTCAATCTTGTGGGCCTACAGGCCAGTCTGAGGTTTGTACAAAAGAAGTGAATGAGTTCCGAAACTGAATTCAGGTGTTCTTCTTGTAATTGACTATGAATCTGTGGTTCTTGAAAATCTGGATAATCTTGCTGGTTGGTACAAAAAGCAGCTACCTCTTATGATTGCACTCTGATCCTGGGATGATCCAAGTAATGGTAAATATGGATGCCTTCCTGACAGAGACAAGCTAATCAACATACTATATTTTCTAAACACTTGGCAGAAGGAGAACAGGCCAGAGGGCACTGCCTGAAACTGGATGTTGTCATCTCATTGCAAAGGGCAGGTAGCATCGGTGATGTACACAGATATGACAGTAAGCCTATTTGAAATCAATGGAACAAAGAAAATCTAGAGAGGCAACTTCTTGAGTGATAGTGTCCAACCAGAATTGGGCTTTGCAAACTACGAGGCTCATTCTTGATAAGTCCCAGGCTAGGGGAAAAAACACCTCCTGTTCTCTTTTTGCACTGTGGAAGATCTTGACTAGAAACCTAAGAATTTCTTGAATACTGGCATAGTAACGATGGCCTCTAAGGTGATGAGTTTTGCTGCATTGTCCAGAGATGCCAGTCATTTTGTGAGGTCCTGGGGAAGAGGAGATGACAGGACAGAGAGAAGAGTGGAATCTTGAAATTCTCTGAAGCGTCCTACTGCAACTATTTCAAGAGCCCATCTAGCTGAAGTAGTATTGGCTCGAGGTCGAATAAGTTCTTCTATCTTCCTCTTACAGAGATGAGCTCCTGAGCCAAAGAGCTTCATTCAGAGAGGGAAAGCAGCATGTGGGGGCCCTCTCTGGTTGTGGTTTGGAAAATATTTTCTGGCATCGATGGAGCAAGAGTGACAAAAAGAGAAATGGTTTTGAATGGCTGAAACTTAAAAGTTGTGGTATAAAGATTTATCACTCACTCTGGAGTCTCTAGAAAAGGGTTGATCTGCTGTTATCTTGTTCAGGTCTGAAGAATCCTTAATCATTTTCTCGAACAATTCTCAGAAAAGTTTCACCCCATTGAAGAGTCTCTTGATCATATTGGTCCTGGAGGTCACATACATCTCTACAAACCTGAGACACTCATTCTGTTGCCTTGAGGTGTTAAAGGATGGATCTGGCAAAGAACCTGGTAACGTCACAGGCTGCATAGTACAGAAAACTCAGGATGAGTTTAATAGCTCTTACCTTTATCTAGAATCTTCCTTTAGAAGTTCTCTTTCTCTGTGGGTGTAGTGGGGAATGAGTGATGGATAAGGCTGTGCAAGCTGAGACTACAAGATGCTTATAATGCAATGCAGGAGGATTCCAAGCCCATTTTAGAAAGCTCAAACTTCCTTTGGATTTCTAGTTCCATCCACAGGAACTGAGCTTTCCCTATGATGAAACTGGTCTTGACTGAGGTGAAAGGAGGAGTCATCAGCCTTGGGAACCAAAACAGATTTGGTGGTTTTACACAACTGAACTTGGTATCATTTTTGGGTAACACTGACAATGGACCTCTTCTTTTCCAGGTTGACCTATTCAAAGTCCACTATCTTATCCATCAATTCTGATACCTAAAAGGCACTGTATCCTGCTTTATTTTGCTTCATCTTGAAGAGGTCTTGGACTGAAGGAAGTTGCATGGCTGGGTTAATTATTTTTAATGAACAAGATCCACCAACTCATCTTGTTTGTCCGGCAAGAAAAGGCACCTGAATTATCAGATTCAGATTGGTCCAAGTCAGAGCAGGAGAGTTCTCCTCCCTCTGCTGCACTGAGGGGAACTGACTAACTCCTCTGAGTATGAGACAGGCTGAGATTTTCTTTTCTTAGTGACTACTATCTGTTTCCTGGGGAGAAGTCTAACAGGAATGAGGGAGGGTGGTACTCTTGAGGTTTTCTGCAAATAGTGCTAGAGGATAGAGAGCAGTCTGGTGAGAACTGTAGGACTCAGGACCATGGGAAATCATGCATCTTGGACATATGGGGTCCAATTCTCCACTTCATTACATCAGTATTACACTGATGTCATTTCAGTTAAATAGGCATAAAACTGATGTAACACAGATGCTGAATGATGGAAAGCACAGTTTGGGTCTACCGTACAAGCTAGGAACACTACCTGGATAGTAGGGGCAAAAAGAGCCTACTGCTATATAAGTCCCACACTTCAAGCATTTTCTTCCCCTCCAACTGACCCAATCTTGGCTCCTGGCTGACATTTCACTACTGGGCAACTCAAGAGGTAGGAGAAGCTGGCAGTGAGATCCTAAAGAGCCAGTTCATTCACTGTAAAAGGCTACCAAACATCACAAAGAGTCTTCCTAGCGTTGCTGCAACAAGTGGAGAGAGACTACAAGTATACGGAGCTGAAAATGGGAGCTGCGACCTCTTTATCTTAGCACTAAAACCATTCTATGGGGAAGTGCTGGAGAAAACCAGAAGACTATGGAAATCCCCGGCTTTCCATTAATGCTTCAGTGAATGAACCAAAACCCTATGTGGAAGCAGAAGAGCCTTCAGGAAGCAGAAGATTGCTCTGCAAACATGAGTACGGTATTTCAAACATGCCAGTGAGGGGAGCTGACAAGCAACTGAAAAAAAATCACAAGAGGAATCTTGTGGGACAAAGGCAAAAAACCCTTCTGTACTGGGCTAAAGAACTGTTGCGTTACCATGTGGAAGCCAGAAACGTTTGACAAAATCACCTAATTAATGACCTATAATTCAAATACCATTTGATATTTTTCTGCACAAATATTCTCCTTTGCTTTCAGAGTAAGTCTGGCAATTTTCAAGCTACACAGATGCTAAAATAGGGCTGTATAATGGTTGCAACCTTAACTGAGGAGAGGCTCCCCCATCTCCAAAATGTATTTAAATATGATACTGTGATAGATATTGTTATTAATAATATAATATTGCTTTAAATGTGATTGGGGCCATGAATTCACAAAGGATTTAACCTCTTAAGATTTCTGTAGTATCTCTTCTCCCACAAAAGTGAATTGAGGCACCTCAAAAAAAAAAAAGTTTGAAGGAGAGTAGCCAAAGGGACATGTCCAAGGACAAGCAGCTGGGTACAAAAATAGAACAGGACAGAACACAAAGAGACAGAGCAACCAGCTCCCAAACAGCCACTCACAAAAAATAACTACAGTCTGTGTGCAGAAGCCCTCTTCTTTCAAGTGTTATGTTGACAAGTTCCTTGTCCTCAAAAAACATTTCATGCTGTTCTATCTCCTCACCATTTCTCTCAGTAACCTCAGCACCTATGGAAACTTGAAATGAACTAAACAGGTAAAGTAAATCGATTTGAAAATGGTAATCTGCATTGGTGTGGACTTTTTAGAACATTTCTGTAGTGGTCTTTACTTCTCAAACAAGCTTTCCTGCCCTTTGTGGAAATCTGGCTAAGGCTACACTGTTTCATAGCTTGACATTAGAAATGTATGTCCACAGGGTCCAACATTCAGATTTGGTGTGTGTCGCTCTGCAATTTAAACTTACTTGTATTTAGAAACAGATATCTGCATGCCTGATCTATGGTTGCCAACTATCTGTTTGCAGGAAACCGAACACCCTTGCCCCCGCCCCCTACCCCACCCCTGCCGT